ATTTGCGCGTTATATGGTATATTAGTCGAAATGCATAACAATCCGAAATTCTACAATAATCCCCTGGACTACTGTACATTGTCACGGTTGTTATTAAAATTACAATCATCATTGTTATTGTTATTATTGCCATTGTCACGATTATTATTGTAATTATAATTGTCGTTATTATTGTTATCGATGTTATTGCCATTATTGTCACTATTATTATTGTTATTATTGCTACTATTACTATCACTATTGTCATTATTACTATTATTATTATTATTTTTATTAGTATCATTATCATCATTACTACTACTATTATTAATATTATCACTATTTTGTTATGTTGCCAATATTGTTATGATTGCAATCTATATTTTGATTGATTATTACTACTATTTTGATAACTGCTATAATTTTTCAGAATATATGTTGCTATTATTATCCTATCCGCGCTTTCTACTACCTGACTGAAAAAACTGAGGGCAGCATCTCTCTCATTAAGTTATAATCAAATAGCCTGTGAACTCACTGAGCTGAGAGTTATCTCGTTGGCACAGTGAGGGGGAAAGCAACGATTTGGATGCGTTCTCCACGGTAATACTCAGCAAGACATCGTTCAAGCACTGTAGTTCCAGTTTTGCCGTCTTTCCGTTAAGTGAGGTAATCTGAAGCGAATCAGCAAACAGCATGCCGTTCTGCTCAGCAAAGGTTAAATTTCGATTTGCCGAGAGAAGGCGTAAAATGATGCGATTTTCAGGAGTACTAGTTTCGGATGCTGATTCGGGATCCGAATCCGGAACATTCATAGTGTCAAAAGCAGTTATTGCAGCTGGCCTGATATCCAGTCTGAGGGTTGAAACAAGCAGTGAAACGGATAGCGGCAATAAAATAACAACCATTCGGAGTGAATAATAATTCAAAGGGGAATCATTTTCGATCAGAAACAGCAAATTTCATCAAAATAGTCTTCTGGTGTAATCACAGATTTCAGGGCACCAAAGCTGGAAAATAATTACGCTTACTGGATCTGGAAGCGTCACAACTAGCGCTTTCCAACTCCAGACACAGAAAGGCGCTCTTGTGTGGTGCGCAGCTGGATTCCTCCTTGCTGCTGGCTACAGTGGATCTCCAGCAAATATAATCTGGTCTTTGGTTCTGGACAAGGAAGCAGCAAGTGTTGTTCAGAAGATCAGTACCCTTTTTATTTGTCTGTGCTAATAGCGCCATTAAAGCATTCGTTCGCTCCTGGAAGAAAAAAAAGTCGAACATTCAGGATAATGCACGAACGTGAAGATTAATTGCTGGCACGACGACTTCAGTGGTTTTAACTGACAGTTACTTTCTCTAGCGGTTTTTTTCACAAATTCTAATTTGTCCCGGAATTTATTGTAGCAATAACCGTGAGAGCGCTGAGCCGAAAACTTTTAAACTAAGCAGTAATTTATTCACCATTTAATTAGGCTCTAACATCCTGAAAGAGCTACTGAAGACCGTATGTGAGATGCAAGATCTCTACAGCCTTACGAGAATGAGAAAAGGCCAAAGCGAGAATATTTAAAGTTGCACGGGGGATGAGCAGCACGGAGAGGAAAGAGCGGCTG